TGATACTTGTGAAACGTTTTATTCGCCTTTCAAGGCATAAAAACATCTTTAGAGACTTTGCTGCTTGCTGCTTCTTTGCAAGATAATTAATGAGTCTTACTTATGCCCGGGTTATACAGTGTTTTCACATGACGTCACGGCGGCCATATTGGTGTCCCAAACAATGAAACGGCGGCCATGTTGGTGTCCCAAACCAGTCCTGTGGAAGTTGAACTCGTTTCTTATGCAAAAGCTTTCTTTTGTTCCAATAAATTGGCATAGATGCTGGCCACGTGTGTGAAAACACTCTATAACGCTTCACCAAAAAGTTTCATGCAGTTCCGGTGCTTGCTTATGATTGGCTAGAGTAAAATAACCAATCAGAAGACGTTTTTTAAACGGAACAAAATTCTGAATGGTTTGCTTGTCGTACAGTACGTGAGCTTTAAAATACTTAATGCGGTATTCGTGATTTTTAACTAACATTTTTGGTTTAAATAGGTGGTAAGTTTCAACTGAAGACAAATTTTGGAAAAAATAATTGGTGGAAGTTCAAATGAACTTTCTTAAAATGTCTTAAAAGACTAGTCGTTATTATTTTTCCTAAATGACCTAGCCTGCGAGAGTAGACGCCTTTGTCGGCTCTTGTGTGTCTCACCCGCCAAGAAAATGTCGTCTGCGATCCCGAGCTCGAAAACGACTTCAGTGACGTCAGCATTTTTCAACCAATCAGCTCTTATTTTTGTGAAGCTAACATGCGTGGGGATGTCGCGTGCAATGGCAGACAGTGATAATGAGCAAATTTTCAAATTAGCAGGAATGATAAATTATGTAGATCCAAAAGCTGTAGGAACCATGAGTTTTCTTGCAACTAAAGAACGAATTCAAATACCCATTAACAGTAAGCATTCATCCCTTGAAGCTCTTAAGGGTACTTAATAAGCATCATTGAACCTCATTGAGAACTCTGGTCCGAAAAGCGTTGTCTTGGATCCTCGATTGAAATAAAACTCTGTCGGTTAGAGAACTCCACCGCAGAAGGGAGCAAAGCTTATTCAATAAAAAAAGATCACAACGACAACTCTGCAGACAGTGGCATTATGAACAGGTCCAGCCATGCACTGTCCTTTTACTTTGGAAATTTCCGTGAAACGTAAACACATTATTTCAATCACTGTGATGCGTTATTTCTACTTATTGATGTCCGCGTTAACGTGCGTAGGACTAGCCCCCCTTCCCCCCCCCCCCTCCCTTTACCCATCTCACGGAATTAACTGAAGAAAGATCCGCTCGAAAAAAGGAAAAACTTCCCAAGTGTTCCGGTTGAGGCTTGACACAAGCGAATTTTTAAGCCTTCCAAGATTGAATCCACTTGTTGATTATGTCCTGTGTGCCGTAGTGGCTTAGAAGGCGTTGGTGTATCAAAAGCTTTAGCAAAGTCAAGCAAAATAATATCGCTTTGCTTGCCATGATCAAGGTGTTTAGCAAGATCTTCGAGGGTGATGCGCAGTTGGTGATGGCTCAGCTCTTGATTCCACCCATACTGCAATTTTTTCTCAGTCCGTCAATTAATTGAAGGCCTCTGACAACACTTCTTTTCGATGAGAAAATGCTTTATGAAACTTTTTTGACACTTGGTCTTTTCAGATTGTTGTTTTGCCGAACCTGCGATCAGGCAGTCCTTTTTCTCTATTGTTTGGGAGTCTACCGAACTGCGACACTGAGGCCGGCAGTTAGAGACTTCTCCGGAAGTGATGAGCTACGATTTGGTTTTCGCGCGCACATTTCAATCAACGGGGACTGTGTGCGTGTCATGGATTTCTAGTCGATTTTCTTAATATTTGCTTATCACAAGTCCTTTTCTACAAAGGAACTTATCATTGGCAAAGAAATTACTTAGCTTTTTTGCAAATGACTAAATCCCTGCTTCATGTCAAACAAATATCTCTTTCTAGCCTTATATCAAAAGTTAAAGACAAAAAGAATAATGGGAACTTGAAAAAACCGTCAGGCTATTAAAACAAGTTTTAAAATAGCAGGAACCATTTACATTAATATGTTCTAACGTCAGAGAATTAAGACTTGTTTTACTACCAAAAGAATGCCAAATTCACAAATTTCATCCCTTTGGTGATACAGTCTGTATTTTCAAACGGAAAAAAATTTAAGTGAGCCTGTACACTCTCAAAATCACCTCTGGTCACTCATACTAGCCTGCGTAGCTGGCGCTTGGAAGTAGTGGGCGAAAGAGAGACCGGGCGCGCGCGAGGGAGGCACGTGTGTCTCCTTCTCGCATGCCCTTTTTTTCTTGCGCCCACTACTTCCAAGCGCCTGCTACTCAGGCTACACTCATATGCCCTTGCGAGATGAAACTCGAAACTCAAAAGCATGCATCAGCGAGCGGGTTAGACTTGCTACAAGTCGACCTCTCATAAGTTACGAATACTTTATTTGAAGTCGTCTTTGATCCTAAATAAATTTCTATTGTTTCAAGAATTTTTAAAAAAATTTTAGATCTTTGAGGAAACAGGTGTCATGACGTCACAGGAAAAACCGACGCCACACTTGATAAAAGTGGACCATTGCGGCGTTCTATGCTTTCAAAACATTGATTTTGACTCTGACATGGCGCGTGCGAAATATCTTTTAATTTTGTCAGCTACCTGTGTTGCAAGGAAAAAACGGGTTACACCAGTTCTATCAGTCAAAAGCATTTGATGGGCGTCGGAAAACACACTGAAAACAAAGAAATATATCCGTCCTTTAAAAAAAGTGGAGATTCGGGGTTTATGAAAGGACAACGAAATCTGTCATTAATAACGTCTCAGCCTACTCGACTGACTCGATTACACCCGATTTCAGATTGAGAAAAGGTTATCGCTTTCTGATTCGATATCACCATAGGTTGCAAACGTTCTCAAAACAAAGGTGTTTGTTATTGGGCCATTCTTCACCGACAGTAATATCTTAAAAGGCTCATCAGGTATCAACGGCGCTTTTCGAATTAGCCTAAAAAAAATTTACGTGCGGGTAAAGGGGGGGATTTCATATATCCCATGATGCATCGCTTCATACTATATTATCAAGCTTCAGAACGCACGTGATCCCATCAGTTTAACAGGGACGCGACAGTTGAACAACGGTGGAAAGCGACTTGTTTTGCCGATAAAACCTTCTGTACTCTGTAAACACAGACAAAAAAACCTTCTGTACCTTTGCTGTGTCGATCTATTTACGATTTTCGTTTTACTATTCCAATTCTATCACTTGTTAAGTCAGAGAGAGTGTTTTTAGCCTCGGACTATTAGTTAACTAGCCTTACGATCGCAAGGTGTGTATAGTAACGATAATAAGGAGTGGCGGATCCAGGGTATGGGCCCCAGGGTGCCCACGTCTCCTTTATTTTTAGCGGAGCTCTGGCGCGCGAAGCACCATGGATAAGTAAATCTACCCATCCCAGAAAATTTGGTAATCACGTGACCGTACACCGCCCGCAGCCCGCTCGTCCGTCCGCACCACAGGGCAACCAATGTTCAATCTCAGACTTTCCAGCTAGCTTGGTAGCACAGGAAGACTGATATTGCACACATATTGTACATCAATGTTGTGATCAGTTGACAGCTGTCAAGACAGGGTATCCACTGACCAGTATCACCTGACCGCATCGCAGGCTCAGGTGCCGACCCATCGAGGTCGAGGTCGGAGCGTGGAACTAGTGTCGAGCACCCCTTGTCCGCCAATATAAATAATTTAATAGAGCAAAGCCTTGCTAGAATAAAGACAGTTTTTGATAATTGAAAGTCATCAAATAAATATTCACTTGCGAGTTAAAACAGAATGGCTTAATTTAACAGGGTCGTAAACGAGAGCAATAATGTGTGAAATGACCATGGAAACATGTTAGATTATCAATCAGATACCAAAGATTAACAGGACTCATTGAAACTTACCTTGGATGAGCTGCATCTTGAAATATAGGTCGTTGGAAATCTCCCGCGAAACCCTTGAACGTTCTTTCCACCGCGGAGTGTGCCGCGGAGACAAGACAGAAATTAGCCGCGAAGCATCATGGGATACATGAAATTCCCCCCTTTCGTGTGGGTAAATTATTGATTAGTTTCGGTTCTGATCGCCAGCTGTTTCAGAAGCAAGGACTTCTTATGGTCAAAACCAAAGAGATTTGTTATATAGCGTCAAGGTGTCAATCTACATGCATACCGTAAAATTCCGAAAATAAACCCCTCCATGTATAAGCTCCCCAATCCGGTAACGCGAAAAACCCTCCGTTAAATCGCCCCTCCAAAAATCAGCCCCCCGGGGGCTTGTACTCGGAAAATTGCACTCAAATGCAACGTAAAACAAAGCAAAAACGGTAAATCTACTTCTAACTATAAGGCTAGCCCAATCAATTTTGAGACGCAAACTTCCCTCCGTATATAAGCACCTCAAAAAGGGCCTTTGAAAAATATTAGCTCCGGGGCTTGTTTTCGGAATTTTACGGTGTGTATATTCCATGATATTCAGTTTTCAAGAGTGAAGACTGTTGTTTTAGTCGAAAACCCGGTGAAGCGATAGCGTAATTTTATCGTTGAGTACACTCCATTAATTTCTTGAAACCAGCTTCACGTAAAGCAAGAAACGAAATGTTAATTTTCCAAGACTTGATAATTTAAAATTTCAGCCAAAAAATCTCTTGAAGTGCCCACCCATTAACTGAAAACGCGGTCGGCAAAATGCGCACGCATTGGTCTTGGGTTTTCATGACACCCGACCAAGGGTCATCGCTCGGCAGGAAATTGTAAGCTGTGATGTGCTTTGATCTCGCCAACAACGCGCTCTTAGGTCAATAAAATCAAGACCATGGAAAGCAACTGTTCACGAAATTCGGAGGAAAATCTAGCTATGATCGATTGATCTGATACAGAAAGAAGGTTTCTTGAGGAAAAGGGGGAAATTTTTGGAGGATTTCTGCAGCAGAGAGAGATTGTTGATCGCGCCCATGCGAAGACGAGAAAAATGATATGCGTTTAGCTTTTGAAGTGAAGAAGGAAAACATGAGAAAAGACTTTGAATGTGAGAAAGAAGAAATGCAACAGAATCTCTTGAAAGAGAAAGACAATATGCGCTGGAAATTCAGGAATCGAGACATATTTTCAAGCTGTCTTTCGAAGACGAGAAATCTGCGTTGATAATATCATGGGATCGTGAAAAACAGACTCTTCTCGACAATTACATCAAAGAGAAGAAAGAATTAAGAGCGCAATTTGAGCGACTTTTAAGGGAGAAAGAGGAAGGATTTAAAGCCAAAAAGGCTGAAATGGAAGCGAAGATTCGCAAAGAGCTTGAGGGAATCGAGGAAGTAAAAATGAGCTGAGGAGGACATTGTCGCAGGGCTTGGGCGACCTGGAGAATGTTTACTTCGAGGAAAACGCGTATCTCGAGACCCTCTATAATCACGAGCAACCAGAGGTTGATATGCACTTTAAAAGTATAGTAGATGCCAAAATGATCCTGGATAAAAAGGAGCTGTTGAAATCGCTCAAACAAGAGAAGACCAAAATGCATTCTCACTACGCCAATAAGCACAAGTTAGTAGAGCACCTGTCCAGTTCGCGTTGGAAATCGTCAGGGACATGGAACAGAGGTTCAAACAGCAAAAGCACGATTTGATGAACATTTTTAGAAGGGAAAAATCGGACATGGAAGAGGGCTTTATTAAAGAAGGGGAAGACATCAGACGTGAATTAGAGGTGGAATTTTGCAGAATACTTCAGCAACAGAGGTTGAAATTCGAGTCGGAAATACAAGGTTACGAGCACGACATCTCTGTTTTAAAATATCAAAAAGAACGGCTGGAAAAGTGCTTTTCCTTAGAAATGCAAACGTTAAAATTAAAATTCGACCACGACAAGCTCGAAATTGGGAACAGGTTTAAAAACGAGAAGGACCTTGGCCCTCAGCACAAGTTCTATTTATTCCGATTTAATCTTTACAGAACATGCTGATGAAGTGCCTGGAAAACTGAACAGGTTTTGAGTTAAATGTAACAAATAGCAGTTGATAAAGTGAACATGCCTCTGTCGATTTCTACTTGCGCGACCAATATACTCTGTCTTTCACAAATAGTCGCTTAATTTAGGTAAAACAAGCTTCTCCCCGAACAAGGCGATTGACTTTAATTTAGTGAGAAGCTTTTTGGCTAATTATCAAGAACAGGCAACACAAATCTAAAATGTTGTGTCACTCGAAAAAATACAGGTATTTTCATTTATTTATTATTTTTATTTTTTGCTCTTCAGTTTCTCAGTAATAGTTTTTCGAATCCGTTCGCAAATGCATGACATTGACCGCCTTACCTTCCCAAATGAGGCTGAAACAAGAAATAAATAAAATAAATTACAATAGAAATTAGAAAAAGCCACCGTAAAAGTAGATATTAATGTATTATATAATTGTTCTAATGCATTAGTAATATTTTGCTTTTTCGTTTGCCGTATGATTCTAGAAACACTGGCATACGGCAGCGTGAAGAGAATATCTCGCGCTGTTTGAAATCAAAGGAAGAATTATTCCTGTTATATTATCAGCATGAGTGACATTAATAATTGATGATATTCGTATGGAATATAACTCTATACTCTCCGACCAGCCGCAAAATATCAGGAGATTGGCTGAATAGAAGTAGATTTCAGATGCTAAAACGAAAACATAGTTGCCAGGGAAATTATCTTAACTGTATACCTTTTTGCAAGAAAATCTTAAATAAACTGTATACTGTGAATAGTATTCAAAGAATATGAATTTTAGTGCAGATGTTGGTAAATACGACTAATTTAGAATATATGTCACTACACTGAATTAACATTTGGTCGATCGAGGTGATTTATGATACCCACTTCGTTTAATGTAAGCTGGTCAAACTCTTCAGGTATAAACTTCATCTTTTTATGAGGTAGACAAGTTCAGTTATTATCTAACTCACGAGTTGAATCAGAATCGACCACTGTTAGTAACCAAAGCTACAAATAGAAGGCGAAAGCAACAAACTTTTCAACCACAAAATTTTAATGAATAATATTTTTCACTGGTAAAGAATTTTGAACAAAAAGTTTTAAAACGTTTGTAAAAATATGAATTCCTAGTCACACCACGTGCTTTGAAAATAATTGTTTTCGGTATTTTTCAGTTTGTTTATTGATATGTAAGCCAATCTCTTGATTTTATTAAACAGCTTACTATTTAAGTATTTTTGCTCATTGTACTGTGAGGGAAATTTGGATTCTGTCCAAAATTCGACAATTGTAGCCTGAAAAACCAGCGACATAAATATACCCAGTAAAAATGGACCTAAGAGGAGAGAGGGACTTTAAAAAGCTATGGCATAGGTCACACCACGTGCATTGGAAGTGGAATTGCGAATTTAACTCCGGGGAAGCTAGAAGTGTTAAACTCGCACCGGTCTACTCCCTCGAGTTCCAAGTCTCTTATCCTAAAAGGGATAACGAATTTTAGTAAAATCCAACTAGTGGTCTATTATCAATGCTGCATTCTGATTGGTTGAGCTACTACTAGGCTATATGTAATAGCCCACTATTATCGAAAAGTGCCGGCTTTGAAAAGGAAAACAACGGCTACTGAATCGCTTTTTGCTAGCTAAAGTTGTTTTGTCTCGATATTTTTGACCAACTAGTTGAATTTTACTAAAACAATTATTCCTCTCGCCCTCATGGCCTCTAAGTAATAGCCCATTCGGCCTTCGGCTTCGTGGGCTATTGACTCGGAGCCCATTCGGGGTCGGGGAATAATTGTTAAAAACAGGGCTCGGCTGCATGGCATCAATCCAAACTTCCACTACTCAGTACTCCTCCGAGGAGATAAAACAGAGAAAAGATTAAAAAAAAAATGAAATTTCCTTCTCTTCTTATCTGTTTTCCAATTGCTTTTGAATTCTTGTCTGTCTTTTTCGTTCTTTTCCCTATCTGTGTTGTCTTTTTATTGTACTGCCGAATGATTTTTCTCTCGCTTAGGGGAAGCTATTACGCTGAGAAGTCATTATCTTTTTCTGCGCATTTTTCCATTTATCAGACAGTGTTTATTAGTATATATTATAAATAAGCTCTGAGTCAATAGCCCATGAGGCCAACTAATAAATGTCATTTCTTGCTCAGAAGTCATTTTCTTGTTTGCCCATTTTCCATTTATTAGTATATTTTTACTGTATATATTTTTTATTTTCTTTTTTAAATTTCACTGGTTAAGTGTTTTGGTAATTTATTATTATTATCATAAGTAAATTTTTTAAAGAATTTTGAAAACCGTTTTTGATCCCACATAATAATCGTTTAGTAAAAAATTGAAATTCTGAACTCATAGGGCCACTACTGATTTATTTAAATGGCGTTTAGCCAGTATATAACAAAACCGCGTTCTAAGCCATTTTCAGTGCCAAAAGGTTATAGCTAAACGCACTATTGTGAACAGTTTTATGAAAGCACTGAAAGAAGACTAGAAGAGCATTTATCTTCTTAAAATAACCCACTGAGGACTGAAGAGATCTGGAGGTCCATAGATTTGTAATTAATACCGCAGCTTAAGTTAGACTTCGTTTTATTTAAATAATCGACCCACTTGAGAAAAATTGATTGTCTTTCCAGGCCGTTGACATCTTAGCGGGCCGGGGCAACTCCGTATCCTGGAAAATGACACGCCAGGTGATTTTGTGCTGTGTCCTGCTGAAAACAGATCAGCGGTATCGAACGGAGAAGCAAAACATGTGCTGTAATGACGTGACAAACTTACAACTGTTTTGATAATCCACTCACAAAAAAAAAAAGACAAAACCTGAGCTCAGTCTTTTCAAAAATAGGGTGCGATGAGCAAGTCCGAATATGAACGACCCTCATTCTTTCAACTGATACCTGGCAATACTAGAAGAGATGATGACAGAAGATATCCCTTCTTATGATTTCGAACAATTAGATGAGAGCCAGGCATTCTGACGGGAATATTTCTTTTAATGGCGCTTTTTGCTGCTAACTGCAACAAAACCGTCAAGCACTCGATACTACAAATGAAATAGCTCAAGAGCCGCCTTTTTGTGTTTGTTGTTGTATTGTTTTCAGACTTTTCATATGACTAAACTCAATGTTGAGTAGTATCCATTCAGTAAATCAAGATTATAGGACTTTCGCAGCAGTGACATCAAATAACCATGTTACTCTCTCTAAATAGGTAACTGAGGTTTGTATCTTTTTCTTTGAAATAAAAAAAAAATACTGGAATTACTGGAACTTTTACGGGATAGCAGAAGTTTCAGAGACTTTCGTCTGAGGCAGACAAGGACTAGCCTGCGTGGCAGGCGCAAAAAGGGGAGGGGGAGGGGGGAGGGAGAAAGGGAAAAGGGAAGGGAGCGCCTGCTCTAAGAGCCTATGTTTTTGCATAACGCCTACCAATTTTCTAGTAATCCGATTACGCTTACTGTCAATCAAGTGTCGCTACACTCGCCATTGCAGAAAAACATTACACTCACGGACTAAAGAAATTCGCTTAGTTAATCAGATCCAGAAGGCACTTTGGAGAAAATTGGAACCTTTATTCAGCCGTAATAAAAAAAGCTTTACGCTTCAAAAGAGGTCAAAGAAATTGCGCTTGCATCAGAGGGCAAATCCTGCCGACCAGAAAACAATAACTACAGTCTATAGTCAATCGATATGTATGTCATGACCTCTCAGTGTGAAACATGCGGCTAAAATAACATTTTCTCAGTATAAATGCAGAACCTTCCAGAGCATCATCTACCCAGCAGATAAAAACAACTTTATTGGAATAAGCAGCATTTTGGTATGAGGTAAAACCACCCTCTTTTATTGCTAAGTTACATCGGCGAATGTCATCGTTCGATAAATTGGCTAAATCTTTCGCTGGGTACCCCAACAATTCCATCTCCTGCAACTGGTCTTCGATAATACTTTTCAGTGGCGAAATGACGAGAATCGCCGCATTACCATTTAGCTCGTAGTTCTTCGCGCGTACAAACATTTGGTAAATTAAACTCTTACCGTATCCGGTCCGCAAAACCGCCAGAACATCTCTGTCGGCTAAAAGAGCCCTTACTGCTGATTCTTGCACTGGTTTTAAAACAGTTTCTCTACCACCAGATAAATTCACATCTCTCAAAGCACTCGCTACGACATCCACGTCTACCGCTGCTATCTCGAATGTTTGTTGATTTGTGAAACGCGCATTTCAACATGTTACTCATTACGGCTCAGCCAATCAGGAATTTGCGGACGCCAGCGTCCGCAGATATGAACAAAAGGGGGTTCTTAGAGCAGGCGTCTCCTCCCCCTCTCCCCAATCCTCCTCCCCTTTTTCCCTTCCTCCCTATCCCCTACCCCCTACCCCTTTCGACGCCCGCTACGCAGGCTAGACAAGGACGAACAAGGTGCAGTTTCAATGTTGTTTTATACAGCATACCAGTACTGTGGCAAATCCAGGCGATTGGCCCCGGGGCCGGCCGCCTCCCCCTTATTTTTAGACCAAACCGAGGCCCGAAGGCACGTATGAGAAACGGGCATTAAATTTCGCGATTCAAGCGCTCTCAATTTGATTTTATTTTTCATACGTCTGAATTTCCTACAATATCGAGATAAACTGGAAGAACGTCAGTCATAGCAGCCACGACTGATCAAGATAGAGTCAGAATGTCAGTGAGTGGAACTCACCAGTAAATTCGGGTGATTATTTGC